AGAGTTGTGGTCACAACCGATGCCAGCCATTTCTGTATTCTGTGATAGTGAGGCTACGTTGTCTAGAGCTTATAACAAGATTTACAACGGTAAGTCTAGAAACATTAGCCTAAGACATGATTACGTTAGGTATTTGATTACTAACGGAGTCATTTCTATTGTGTATGTAAGGTCTGCAACAATTTGGCAGATCCTCTTACAAAGGGGTTGCCAAGAGGCATGATCTATGAGACATCCCAAGGGATGGGATTGAGACCTTTTGTATAGTTAGAAGTAATAGAAACCCAACCTTTTCTTTAGATATTCCCTAATTAAAAGGTTCAATGTGGTAATAACAAGTTACTCTAACTGGGAACTAGTTTATTGTACAAGTAAAGGAAATACCACATTGGTGGGGAGAAGGAAAGTGCAAGTTGTTTTTAAATTTGCTTTCCACTTTAGTTATTGGATAAAGTGGTTAGTGGGCTTTTGGAAAAAGTGTGGGCTATTTAGTTTGACATATTAAATCGCACTACGCACTTAGCACGTTTGCGCGACGCGTTCGGATTTGAATTTTTGGCTAATTAATTACCGGAATTATTTTAATTAATTAATCCGGATAATTATTTGATTTTGACTTTTGTGAAACGACGTAACCCTTCGGAAGGGAACTGCCGTTTTCACTATAAGAAGTCTTCTGCAGCCGATATTCTTGCCAACGTTCATCTTCTTCTCCTCGTTTTTCCTTCTCCAAAAACACAAACACAGAAGTCAGAAAGGTTGCTGCTTCGGACTTTGCTTGAAGGGACTCCTAGGGGTGGTTTGCCTAATTCCTACCAGCAACGAAGTAGTGGGGGCAAATAACACTCTAAGGAGAGTGATCAAATCACGCCTTCAATCCGTTTCTCCATACTGTTTCCCTGACAGATACCACAGCTTTTAGCGTTCTATGATTCACCTCTGAATAATGAGTAGGTAATTCGATCCTTTTGATTCTTCTCTTCATAGTAAACTGATGGGGGGATGCGTGTAACTCTAGTCTACAATTTATATTGGATTAGCGTAACTATTTATACCGCAACTACAAACTGTGGTTGTTTTCCTCACATCTGGCTTAAGAAGAGAGACGATTCAAGCTAACTTCGGGGGCAGAGAGTTGGTGAGTGGCATTTTCAAGCAAGCAAGTCAGTTACAGATTATAAGTACGCTGAGTTGGCTGAATTTAAGATCAGGAACCTCGCCGCCCCCCGAAGCCGATACAGTTACCATGCTTACTAGTTCTTACCATTGCCGCCTATAGATATAGATCAAATTATCTATCGGACCGTGAAAAAGATTCAACAAAAGACATAAATAAATCCATGATCTGTTTTACGTCAAGCAATACGTGGAGTCTCCCCCCTAATCTTAGATAGGTCGTCTGAGGGTTCGCCGCGGTTCATTGCTGTGCTTACACACTAGGCTACCCTTCTCCGAAAGCTCCGCGGGAGTTCGTCTGGATTCTTCGATCGAAAGGGAAAGAAATGAGATTATGCAAGCATGGAAAGAGAGGTATGCCATCTTCGATCGATATAAAAGATTTTAAGCCACATTTCGCTTGAAAGCCAAGGAAGGCCCTAGCCTGTCTTACTGATCTTAGTTTGAATTGACTCAGTTGGCAAGTGGATTGCGTAAGTAAGCCTTGGTTTAAGGACCGCCTGGTAACCTTGTCCACAATAGTACGTGTAACTGGCGCCTCACAAGTCACAACCAATCTCTTCTGTCAACGAGTCGAGGGCCACAAGTGCAATAAAATAAGACGATGCCGAGAAGACGCAGTAAATATTACATAAATACATCTGCATTATAACTCATATATTGTCTTTAGATTGAGACCAACTTAATTTATTACACAATAAATGAAATTCCAATTTGGAATAGATCACTAATCCGATATATTTTCTTCTTAAGGTCTATTCGATTTTTACTAGCATCATGAGAAAGTGGTGATTTTCTCTTCTCTTCGTCTCCTCCGATGACCACAATATTGTGCTCCACTACCCGTTGATTAGCTAACACAATATTATACTCGTGAACCGCACTATACTAGTGTCTTGTTTTATTCCTTACATTATCGATTGCACGCTTCCTCGTTACTACATAGAATATAAATCTCCTCTTCATTGATTGATCAGTTAAACCTCACAATCTTCGCCACACAAGCAAATCTTGGTTGCCCGTTTAGTTTAGTAAAAAGCATATGGAGATCCACGCTAGCTACTGTGTTCTCGTTGGTGCACCCAACCTGCATCTGCACGTGCTCCACTATTCATTCGTACCCAGGAGTAAACCACGTTCATGTTATACGATTGGTAAGTACGATTTAAAACTAGCTGGCTAGGGTAGCAATTTCGAAATCATGGGCGAAAGCTTCGAGGTTTGAACTATGCAGTGATGCATGTTCGTGGTGGTGGATGATGACTGGACATACGGTTGTTGTTATGACTTGAAGATATACGATCAAGGCACGAGTAATAGTTAAGGATATTTTAGTAAGTTTAGTTGGGTTGGTCGATTAGGGTTTTACGTTAGAGTCTATATATTGTCATTTATCTATTTCGCCAGAGATCACTTAATAAATAAATTATCAAAGTATCGTCAAGTTTTCCCAATCTCCCTTTCCAATCTCCAATTTCTATTAAGTTCTTCTCCAAATTCCTAAGTATCTTCTAAGAATCCCGAATTCAATCCCCACTACCCTTCATCAGTACATTATCTGTCATTGACCGAGAGTCATGAGAGTTCCCATGCACGTAGCTAACACATTGTGTGATCTTTACTTTACTTTACTTTACTTTGTTGAATTTTTTCGACAATCCCAAAATCTTCAAACATGCCATAATCTTGGAGTTTGATTCGGTTCGGCAACTTCGAGTCAAAATAATAGAGCAAATTTTCGAGTAAAAAATGCACGATATCAATTCCATACTGAATGCTTTAAATAGGTTGAGTTGAGAATTTGAATATTTTCGTATTACCCAAGAACATTCCCACACACCGGTTAAGCAATGACGGAGACCAAACCTAGCGATTCACTTACTTGAGTACTTCAGGTCCTACATGAAAATCACATTAAATGCCTCCGAAAATATTATAATCGACCTCGATAAGATGTGATACTTCCCGGAATAAGTGTCACTAAGGTTTGTAGGCTGTGACATTGGCAGAATTTGAACCTTTCTATAATCAATGCAAGTGGAAATCACTCACTCCTAGCAAAACGCCAAACTGTGTGTGTGCCATACTGCCATATCGGCTCCGAAAATTGAGTTAGGACCGTTAAAAAATGGGCTGCATATGTACTCTGTACATATCAAATAGGCCGAAAGCCCTTGGCTGTCATCTACATAACTATATCTATTTCATATTTCCATCATTCAAATAGGGGTTGAAATATCTTGACGAGGCCGAGTTTGGGCCCAAGGTGGGGTGCAATTTATTGTTGGGTTATTCCTAGTAGGTAGGATTAATTATTACATGCGCCGGCGGAAAATTCTTGGGTCCAATCTTGGTTGGACGCAAAAGTTACAACCTGCCACATGTCAGTTTGTTATTGGTATACTTATTTTTTTTAATATTTAATATTCTTAATTATGCTAAATAAATCAAGAATTAAAATATAAAAAAAGAAAAATAAACTCACTAATAGGAAAATGACATGTGGCAGGCTGAACCTTCTACGTCCAACCAAGATTGGAGCTAAGAATTTTTTTTGGGCCGAATGGGATTAATACGAGTCTCGTTAGAGAATTAGAGTCTAATTAGGAGTCTTCTTCTTTTGAGTGTTGCCCGAGTCGGCTCGGTTAGTAATAGGTTTTCGGCTATAGCTAGGTTAGGTATCAGGTTTTCTTCGACATATTAGTTCGGAAAGAACCAATAAAATAACAAATTAAACAAAACAGGTTTTAGTAATTTACAGCCCGCTTGTGAGTTACAAGCAAAATGCTATCTAGAATGGTGAGTTACAGTTCATCATATATCGTGTATTGATGATTTATTTTCCAGAAATTTTCACGAATGATTGGATGTCTCTTGAGGACGAAATTTCTCTAAATTTATAATTTGAGTTATTGAATTAAATAATTAGTTCACAATAATTTTAAACAATTTTATTGCAGCCGCCGACAATAACATCTAGCTATTCCTATTGAGGGGTCGTTTGGATGTGGAAATGTAATGCAGTAATTGGACCCAATTACCACATAATGCAGTAATTGGGTTAAAAATCCATGTTTGGGAGAGCAAAAATGGTATGGAAATTGGACCATGGAAATTGACTTCAATTACCACATTCATGGTAATTGAGAATACTACACCTCCCCCTAGTAATTTGACATTACCACGTTTTCTTACTTTTTTTTCCAAATTCCACACCATCAATTCCCACAATACTAAACCCTATCCAAACGTGAATTTTTTTCCAATTTTCACAAGTCAATTCCTTGGTTTTGTACAACATGGAAATTCAGACAAATTTCAACGTTTTAAAATTTCCACATCCAAACGACCCCTGAGTATTGATGATATTTCGTCAGCAGTCACCTCAATAATTTGCCATACATATGTGTGTGAAAAGTCAAAAATTAAATCTTATGTGCTCCTACAAATAAAGATTAATTAGCTCGAAGATTGAGATTTCTTTTTTCAAACTACCCAACTTACTAAAAAGGAGGAAGATCACGATTCACGACCATGATATTTGAAGTAAAGAGATTATTAGTGGCAGAACCATAATACTCGAAATATTTAACAGCTCTATCCAACTTACTAAAAATAATGGGGAAGATCAAGAACACGGCATTTGAAAGTAGAAAGATAACTTATTCAAAGCGGGTAAAACCAAAGCATTACATATATTCATTATTGTTTTTTACTCCAAAACCAACTGAAAGAAACCGGCGAAACGACACGAATTCACGATACAAATCCAAAAGCACACAACACAAAACGGATACACAAGCACAAAACATTTCAAGGAAAATTTACACGACCATGGGAGTAAGAAGAAGAGCTACAAGAATATCCTTGGTCCGGGTGCTGGAGTGTGTGTAGCCATCATAATCCTTGTAGTTTGTATCCATAAAGCGCACAAGATTAAGGATCACAATAGGAACTCGTTTACAAACGTGAGAAGGAATGTTCAGCAACAACTCCTCGTTCATAATCATCCAGTCCTCATCAATCAGCTTGTTCAGTCCATCGATCGCCTCCTGCCTCGACGCGCCGTACTGCTTCATGTAACATTCCAGCGATGATGCAAAATGTGCGGTGTCCGGCTCTTTCTGCATTTGACGCGCGCACGATTTTTTTTTTTTTAAAGTAGGAGTACATATATACGCGAGTGCATACATAACGACACATATAAAATATAATTAAACGGAGTCGTGCGCGTATCGAGTGAGTACGTACCATGTTGTCGGCAAGGTCGTCCTGAAAGCGACATATATCGCTCGAAATGATCAGCATTTCGGGCGAGGAAGCTAACCATTCGAAGTCGCTCTTCGAGACCGAGTCACCCAAGCCGCAGATGGTGGCGTAGACTATCCATTCGAAACAAGTGGTCACGCAAGAAAGCTGTCTGTACGTATTCGTCTAGTGTGGGCACAAAACCTTTGTAGGATTGGGACCTCCTTTCTTCTTCCAGGTATAGCCTTGCGACATTACTGATCTGCAAGATGCATAATCAAGAATAATGGAGGAAATTAATGGGTATTAATTGACCCTAGCTAGGTCATTAATATCATGTTTATAAGAACAAATTACATATGATTTGATATAGTAGTACTAGTACCCCTCGTTTCATGTAGTCCAAAACCCATGGCCTTCCTTCCTTGGAAGTGACTGCCTCGATTTCTTCATGAACATCAGCCAGTGCGTCGAAAAGGACAATCATGTAATCTTTCAGCCCTTTCGCGCTAGTATCCACCTGTAGTAGCAACAAAATTAACCGTAATCCGGCTCATCCGTTCAACTCGAACCAATCAACCCGTATTTTATATATTTAAAATTAAGATTTGAAGTTGGGGGGAGATTTTCTTTTTTGTGGGACTCGCTTCTCTTGGGTTTGGGTGCGCGAGTTTCGAGTTATGCAACCCGTAGATGTCCGACCCAACCTGCCATGTTACAACTATTGTGCTAAGTATTGGAACTCAAAACGTACGTACGCGTATTTATGTCGTATACAAGCAAGTGAGAAAATTAAGATTTTTTCCCCGTATCAAACGTTTTTAATACAAACTATGGTTCATGTCTTTTTTTTTTTTTTTTTTTTGCGTGAATACAATTTCAAAAGAATAACATATATATTATATAAGGATGCATTAGTTTATAATGAATAACTTCCTTTAGCTTATTTTGGAAAATGTAGTGCTATATAATATAAATAAATATTTACCTTTCAATCGCGTCAGTGAAGAGATCGAGATGTTCAACGGTACCGTGAATATCGAATGTGTCGTCCACCAGCGTCCCGATGAGAGTGATCTTGGTGGCGAAGTATCTGGCCAGGTAGTGTTTGGGCTCCCAATACAATCCTAATCCCCAGAAGTAGGTCTCCACGAGCTTGTCTCGAGCGTAAGGCAGCTTCGTTGGTGAATCCAGCTTAATCCACCACCTATATATCATAAGATTGTTGTTGATTAAAAAAAAAGACAATCACAGAAGGTTAATTATTACTGTTTGGTATTGTTAAGTGCTACATATAGGGCTAGGGCTGGCTATTTGGTCCCGGACTGTTTGGTTTTACCCGAAACCGGACCGTATAACCCGGACCGGGACCGGACTGGGACCGGATAGCAAACAATGCAATCTCATATTCGGGCTTAGATTTGAGGTAAAAAACTGGATAAAGACCGGATATGAGGCCCCCAACACCTAAAATCAAGATAAAATTGGGACCGGACCGGGTCAAGACCGGACCGGATAAAGACCAGACTGTATCCAATCCAATCTTTGGTCCTTATATTACCGAAAAGACCGTACTGGCAGGGGCGGATCCAGGATATAATAGAACACTGGGCCGCATTTGAATAAAATATTATATACCATAAACAAAAAAATATAATAACTATAGTTTTCATTAAAATATCAATTATAGTAAGAAAATAATGTTGTTTTTGCCTTTTTATTTGGTATTTGAGAAGATACCATGATGAAATATCTTCAAATATGCATAATCAAATAGCACAATAATTATATACTCTCAAATTTCTAATTAACTTCCAAATTCTTATTAGAATACACAAAATAACACGACAAACTCTACCTATTCATGCTAACGTACGCCCGTCGAGTTTTACTATTTTGACCAAGAATTAACCAAAGTTTGGGGGATGACACTATACTCTAATCTCTAATGGGTGAACCCCGTCCCTAATTCTCTAACCCGAAGCATAAAATTCATTTAATCTAAAAATAATAATAACCAACATTTCTGATTTATCGTAATATATAAAAAACAAATAACAAGTGTGAACGCAGGCTTATAGCGTACGTCAAGAGTACGAAATATTAATCAATTTGGAATGTTTTAATAGCTAGAAGAAAGTTCATAGGTTGTAAGAAATGTTCTTATAGTTGAACATTAAGAAATACCAACCAGTTCAAGGAGTTGTTCCTTCGATCAATTACTGTGATGATTGTTCTGTTTCGATTTTCATTTTGGACTGAAGTGCAACAAGAAAATTTGCAGTACCCGACCAGATTTCGTTGAATGATTCGTTGTACTGTTTTAGAGAGGTATCAGTTTGGGAGCAATGTTGACGGCTAATAGTTCTCTCCACATCATGATTGACTTCATGTTCTTAATGTAATATCTTATTAGTTGTGTAACCGTGGCCATCTTCAATTGGAAATGAATGAATTATTAAAAAAAAAAAGAGCTTTGCTATGGCGTACATATAAGACTGGAGTGGGGATCTGGGAAAATGGCGTACCGGTGGAGAAATAATGATCCTTTTCCCTTTAATTTTTTGGCCCGTGAAAAGAGGAAGGTAGGAGTTTTGGGAATTGGATTTTGGTTGCTTGGATTTAGGAGTTGGGTTTTGAGTTTGGAAATAAGAAAAGGTTGGGCCTAAAATGGTGACAGGGCTAAAATTATTGGCTGTATAATCTTTATGACAGGAGGAGGGCTGGGCCCAGGCCCGTGGCCCTCCTCTGGATCCGCCGATGTGGACTGGGACCGGATCAATTTGGTCCAATTTAACCGGACCGGATCGTATAGCCACCCCTAGCTGAAAGTCTAGCCCTAGATTAGGGATGACAATTTTGCCCATACCCATGGGTATTTTACTATCCAACCCAATTGGGTTGGGTATGAAATTCAAATATATGGATATGGGTAAAGTTTGATGGGTTTGTACCCATACCCATTTACTTTGGGTTGGGTTGGGTTTATAACAAATGGATTTGGGTTTTGTACCCATGCCCAAATATAAATTACAGTTTGGTACCTAAACTTAATAGATATGCATATTTAGTACCTAAATTTAATTTTTTTTGCATACAAGTCCTCAAAATATCGATGGAAAATTACGTTTTGGTACCTAAATTTTTTTGGTCTTCAATTTTGGTACCTAAAATTTTCAAGTTTTACAAATAAGTCCAATTTTTGCATGTGTAGTTAAAACATCCTCAAGTAAATGGATATCCATATCCAACCCATATCCATTTAGATAATATCCATATCTAACCCAAACCCATATACAAACCCCAAACCCATACACACATCACCCAAACCCTACCCATAATAAATGGGTCTACTTGGGTTTGGGCAAAATTACCCATGGGTGGGTAAATTGCCATCCCTACCCTAGATATTATATCCCCTAGCCCGGCCGACACAACTCCATCCATCACCCTTATAAAAAAAAAATTACTTACTCGGTGATGGGGCGCAGTTCGGCCTGATACATGTGCTGCAACACGTTGAAGTTCAGCTTGGCGAGCCTGAGGAGGACTGGGTCGTGGCCCGAGAGATGTTCATAGGCGGAAGAGACGAAAAACAGGTGTTCAACAATCGGCGCGACTTTGAGAAGAGGCCTCTCGAGAGCACGGGTGACTCTTTCAGCGACGTGGGTTTCCAAATCTGCAACTTTGGATCTTAGGTGCGCCGTGGTGAACTCAACGGCTTCCCCTAATATGCTTTCTTCCCGTGTCCTCAGGTACGCAGCTTCGTACAAGTTCAACATGCCTTCAATGTCGTCTGTTAACTCTTTCTTGAACCCTTCTTCTTCTCCTTCAGATCTGAACTTGTTGAACACATCTGCAGATACGGCAGACGACGCACGTTAGAGATCGATGGATCGATCGATTTTCGTAACATACCGGTAATTTTGCTTAGAATCAATGTTTTAGAAACCGACTGTACCGCGATAGGTTGGACTGCGAATACCTATTCGTACATGACTCCAAAATGAAGACGATTTTAACCACGATTTTAGTATAAAACATCCTACCATTGAATTTTCCGATCATGTCCTCCGATACGGTTTAAAATATTCTAATGATATTCATGATTATTTTGTACCAGATAATATATATATTAGTATATCACGATAAGCTGTTTGACAGTAAACCAACTACATCGCAGAAAGAAAAGTGAGTACGTATAGTTTGCTAAAAACGTAATCTGTGTAATGCACAAAAGATTGAGTCTACCATTCATCAATGATAATAATTTGAAAAATTATGCAACACATTGATCTAATCAAGTTGTTACACATATATATTAATTAATCAAGCTACGTACCACATGACGCTTTATAACCGTGTTGCCTCAGCAGCCTGAAACGGAGTGCAACAGTGTTGAGGTCGTTATCGTCATCACAGCTCCAGATACTTTTGTCTCCGTAAACTTGTTCAAGGTCTTGCTCTATTTCTTTCTCAAAGTGGTAACCAACGCCTAATCGTTCCGCCGCATCGATGAGGCTCAACCTTTCCAGCACATTGCTAATTGGATCCGACAGTTTCTTCTTTATATTCGACTTCAAGATTTTGATTTCTTCATTCCAGTCGTTCACTACCTGTACGTACCACATTAATGTTTATTTTATTTTAATTTTTTTTGTTTAAACCATTTGACTAAAAATCCTGACTACAACATTGATCGCAGGATAGAAAGAACTTTACCTCATCAGCTGCAGGGACGACTTGGGTTATGAAGAAGTCTCCCCACACAGTTGGGTGGTAATTCTTCCACGGATGGGCGCTTTCAGATTCTGCAATAGCCATATATAACTTGATCTCTTGTTTTTTGTTTTTGTTTTTTGTTTTCTTCTCTTTCTAGTTTGGGCTAAAACCAAGCAATAGCCAGAAGAAGAAATACCACGATTCAGCTCTGCAAGACAGCATCTAGCTCCTGCTTTATATAGCAAAATTAAACAGTCCCCCTTATTATAATAATGTATATATATAGTTTTGTTTTCGCTCTACCATTAAGTGTGCATTTAATGCACTCGTCTCATAATTGTCATTTTGAGTAGGAGATCCATATTAAAACGATATCAATCATCGCTTGTGATTTGATGGACAAGAAAATACATGAATTTGCACGAAAATCACTGAAGATTTACATTGATTTGAAGGTTTAGAGTTGAGGGGTTTAGGGTTTATGAATTCGAGATTTAGAGGTCGTTTGGAAGTTGTGATTGTTAGAGTTGTGTTTGTTAAATACATGTATTAAGCACAATACAATGTTTGGAAGTGTCAAGTTGTAAAACAATGCATGTATTGTTTTGTGTAGGCCCCACCAACAATCACAAAAAATGATGCATTATACAATCTCAACTAAAAGTTGAGATTGTTGTGATTGTCTTTTTAGATTTGTGTCCACTTTTTCTTTCCATTTATATCCCCATAAAGTAACTTTATGCAAAAGGTGAGGGTAAATGTGACATTTCTCTATAAAGTAACTTTATGCAAATCAATACATAAACTAGAATCTCAACAACCAAACAATGTATTGTCAAAATGCATCTATTGTATCAATGCATGTATTTATATTGTAGTGATTCATTACAATACAACGATTTAACATTCGCAACTTCCAAACGACCTTATTAAATTAAATGTTTAGAGATTTAGTGTTTAAAATTAAAGATTTAGAGGTTAGGATATGCAATGAGTTGATTAGTTGTGAGATTACTTTTTTCTTATTATCAAACTAATCGTTATTGTATGCGCGCACTCATTTTTGTGAGTATAGTGAAGAAACCACCTATATATTTTGCGAGCAAAACACATCAGGGGAGGAAGTATTGGGCCGGAAGAATATTGATGTAGGCCCATCGTATGACAAGCCCAAGGACTCGACGTCTATTCCGAGTAGGGCGTGTAATGCTTGCTGTAGTTGCGTTGATGATGTACAGAAGCATATATATTGTTCACATGTAAGGCCACTGGCCACACACAATATCAAATAAGAACCCTAGTCTGTGGACGTAGCTCTTGCATACTGCAGGAGTGAACCACGTTAAAAAACGTCGTGTTCGTTGTCTCTTCCGCGTACAGTTCTTGATTTTTCTCATGGTATCAGAGCAGGTCGGTTCAGCCTGTTGAGTTTTTTTTTTGAAGTAACTTCATGGGCGACAAGGATGAGAAGTCTCTTGCCAGCGCAAGTCAGGTCATAGTTGGTAAGGTTCAAGATCCATTGTCACCGTTTTATCTCCATGCTTCTGAGACAGCGAGTCAGATGCAGGCGGAGAGGTCTTAACGTCGTTGAATTATGGGGAGTGGATCATAGAGATGACAGACGCCCTCATAATAAAAAACAAAATTGGTTTTGTTGATGGTACTGTCGAAAAGCCTGTTGATGAAGCTGAAATTCGTGCCTGGACAAGGTGCGACGCAATGGTTCGAGGTTGGCTTCGCACTGCCATGGACAAGGAAGTGCGAGCAAGTGTGCGGTATGCGAAAACTTCACGGGAGATCTGGCTGGATCTTAAAGATCGGTTCGGGCAGGGCAGCGCATCGCGCGCATATGAGATTCGAAGAATGGTCAGTTTGTTGCAACAAGAGAAGCTGAGCGTCTCGGCTTTCTATACACGTCTACGGACGTTTTGGGAGGAATCGCAGTCGATTTTGCCAGTGCCGAAGTGCACGTGCGGTCTGTGCACTTGTGGTTTGGAACGCAGAGTCAAAGATTGAGATGAAGGGGCGCGCTTGTTTGACTTCTTAATGGGGTTAGATGATAGTTTTGGGACTATCAGAACCCAAATTTTGGCGACCAAGCCTATTCCCACTTTGACAGAAGCTTTCAACCTTGTATCTAGTGATGAACAGCAAAGGCTTCTTGCCCAGAAAAGAAAACCACAAGCAGAGGCGGCAGCCTTCCTCACTCGTGGTGGCAGTGACCGCTCTAGTGGTCAAAAGCAAAATGAGACTCGCACGGAAGGAAGAGATCGCAGTCGTGTGAAGTGCACGCATTGTGGTAAGACTGGGCACTTAAAGGAAACTTGTTTTGACATTATAGGTTGGCCAAATCGTGACAGGAACTTACAAGGGATGCAAAACAACAATGCTGCCGGTCGGAGACGACGTGATGATGATCCGCAGCCTAAGGCATCTCAGGTTGAGTCGGAGAGTCCAGTAGTTGGGTTCACTATGCAGCAACTTGAACAGTTAAAGGTGTTTTTTGGCCAGGGAAAGGCAGCCGAGTCGCCTACTTCCAACATGGCAGGTACGTCTTACTCTACGTCTGAGTGGTTAATTGATTCGGGTTGCAACGAACATATCGTTTGCGATGATTCTATTTTAAGAAATGTATCCGTGGATATGTCGAGTCGGCCAGTTAAGATACCCAATGGGGATAGTGTTCCTGTTGAGAAGGTGGGATCAGTTTTACTATCATCTGGTCTACAGTTGGATCGGGTTCTACATGTACCCGGGTTTCGTTGTAATCTTCTTTCGGTAAGTCGGCTGACAAAGGAGAATCAAGTGCCTTAATCTTTCTCCGTGACTTTTGCATTCTTCAGGACTTACAATCCAAGAACGTGATTGAGAGGGGGATTCTCCGTGACGGGCTTTACTATCTGCGCTTATTCAGTGAGAGGGAGCGCTTGGCATTTGCGGCAAGAGTCGATGATGCTTCTGCGTCGGTTGGCACTCGAGGGTGGGTCATCCCTCCATTGACAAAATGTCGCAGCTGAAGTCTTTGTTATCTCCTAATTTTGTTGATGATTTAGTTGGTGAACATTGTCATTCTTGTTCTCGTGCGAAACAAGTTAGAACACCTTTTGCCCCTAGTTCGATAAAGACGTCGACATGTTTTGATCTCATTCATTTGGATTTATGGGGAGGTTATAAAGTTGCTTCTCTGAGCGGAGCTCATTATTTTCTCACTATCGTTGATGATTATAGTCGCAGTGTATGGGTTTATCTACTCCGTTTCAGGTCTGATGTTGGTCGTTACTTAATGATGTTCTGTGAGATGGTGGCTACACAGTTTGGTCAACGGGTTAAGGGTATTCAGACCGATAATGGTACAGAATTCCAGACTAGTGCATTGCTCGACTATTATTCTCAACATGGGATTAGCTTGCATACTAGCTGTGTTGACACTCCACAGCAAAATGGAGTTGTCGAGCGAAAGCATCGACATATATTAGATACAGCCCGCGCTCTTCGTTTCCACGCTGGTTTACCCATTGAGTTCTGGGGAGAGTGCGTTTTGACAGCTGTATACTTGCTCAATCGTCTGCCTATAAAAGCCACTGGCAAGACACCGTTCGAGGTTTTGTTTGGCTCACCTGCGTCTTATCAGCATCTGCGCACCTTTGGGTGCCTTGTTTATGCAAAAGACACCCACCGCGGTTTACACAAATTCGCCAAACGGGGGCGTACATGTGTCTTTCTCGGCTATCCTTCTGGTCAGAAGGGTTATCGTTTATATGATCTGGTAACTCAGCAATTTTTTGTATCTCGTGACGTTAAGTTCGTTGAGGGCCATTTCCCATTTCGGTCACTAGAGCCCTCTTTGTTGCATTGGGTGCCACCTGTTGGTGGCAATATTCAAGTAATAGATGATGATGTTGATGTTTCTTCACCATCACAGTCCATGCCTCCTCCTGTTAGCTCGACCCAAGACAAAGGAATTTCATCCTTGTCAAGTTCCCCTGCCGTGCAATCACATGCGCCACCTGCAGCGCCGGATCAGTCCTCCGGTTCTCCTGCAAAGTTGACTTCCCCCAGCGGTAGTCCTCCTCCTCTCGGCGATCAGGTTCCCTTACGCCGAGGAGATCGTGCTCGCACCCGACCTAAGTACTTGGAAAACTATGTTACTGATGAGCAAGTCGCCAACGCGGTAACATATCCCCTCTCTGCTCATGTTTCTTACTCTCGTGTTAGTCCTGAGTATCGGGCTTTTCTGGCCGAGGTGACCCGTCATTATGAACCTCGGAGCTTTAATGAAGCTATCAAGAATCCATTTTGGCGCGAGGCAATGGAGAAAGAAATAGCTGCTCTTGTTGCAAATAGAACTTGGAGTCTTGTTGATCTTCCTCTAGGAAAGCGGTTGATCGATTCGAAATGGGTGTTTAAAATAAAGTATCGTCCCGACGGCAGCATAGAGCGCTATTAGGCGCGTCTCGTCGCAAAAGGTTATACACAAATTGAGGGTGTTGATTATCATGACACGTTCGCCCCGGTGGGCAAGCTAGTTACTGTTCGTTGTTTGATAGCGGTCGCCGCTAATCGTGATTGGCACATTCATCAGCTAGACGTAAACAATGCATTTTTGCATGAGGATTTGACCGAGGAAGTGTACATGAAGATCCCGCCAGGCTTTGCGGCACGTGGAGAAACCCGTGTTTGCCGCCTTCACAAATCTCTGTATGGGTTACGTCAAGCGTCCCGGATGTGGTACCAAAAGTTTACTGCTGCACTATGCACCATCCGTTTTCGTGCATCACCAGCAGATCATTCTCTCTTTGTTTACAAGAGAGGATCAACCTTTGTCACAACCTTGATCTATGTCGACGACGTCCTTCTTGCTGGAAATGACTTGGATTTTATCACTACAGTCAAGTCTTTCCTGGACCGTCAGTTCAACATCAAAGATCTGGGTCCTATTCGGTATTTTTTGGCGATTGAGGTGGCTCGTTCCCCTCGTGGCGTTGTCCTTAGTCAGCGTAAGTATACTCTAGATATACTTGAAGAATCAGGTATACAGGCTGCTCGTCCGAGTTTGTTTCCAGTTGAGCAAAATCACCACTTGACTAGTCCATCTGGTGATA